AAAAGAACTGCAATGCTGAAAAAGCATTTTCAGTGACAGTGTTTGGATTTGAAATCAAAATAATGGATAAATGTTGTGTTTGTGGTAAACAGCCACGGATCAGTAGCGGACTCCTGTGTGAAAGCATAGTCCGTGCTGCTTCCCCCCTCACAAGAGACACCTAAGAGGGGAATTCTCCCCATTTTTAAAAATGAAATTCAGGCCCTGAATAAATGTCTAAAAATCCTGATTGGAGTATCACTATAAATAGTTATAAGTGATAATAAGAAGGCTTTAAAAAGATCGGTATCGGTGATCGTATCGGCAGATACTGCTTTCTGTGATCGGCGATCGGCCTCAAAAATCCTGATCGGAGCACCCCTAAAAAAAATACCTTTTTAAACCGTTTAAACTGATAGTAATAATCAGTCTTTTTTTTTTCAGCGGAAGATTGTGCGTACATGAATCTCCACCCCATCTCCTCCCCGAAATAGCCATTTATGGAGCTTACAACGCCTAGTTTTAATATGCATAACGTCATCTGCATATCATTTCCATGCATATTCCATCCACGTGACACCATGTTTAACGCAGTTAAGGGTAGGAATACGTTAGGAAAATATGATACAGACTATAAATGCGTTTTGAGACATCACTATTCTAATTTATGCAATTTGCCTAAAAGGTAAACATATATTTTAGAATGTTTATAGCCTATATTTTTATGGAAAGAGATAGGCCTTATTTTTTTGCAGTGTAAATAGCTGTCTGACTCACCGCGTCAATAAAACATTTTGAAAATAAATCGTGCATATCTTACAGTTTCCTTCAAATTGTATCTTTTAAATATGGTGTTTGTCACAATATTGTGAAGAGCACGAAAGGGGTTATCATTAGGCTACTGTCTGTGCGCGACACCTGTGAACAGAGGTTGTACTGTCAACCAATGGACTGTTTGATCAACGAGCGTATCCTTATGTCTGTCGTTACCGTCTATGTTCCAAAGCCATCAAACAAAGTCAAGTTCACAAAAATGATCATTTTTATTCGCACAAAAGTATTTTCTCAGAACATGAGTTTTGCTATTTAGAACACAATTTAAAACGGAATTGTCATGCGTCAAGCAATGCTTGCTGTGATTAAAACATTAAGTCGCATACCACAGGAAAATAGTTCGAAAGCAGCACATCCACTGTAAATATTTCTGTTTAAATTCATATAAAAATGTTGTAATTTCTGGATAATAATTTCACGAAATTTCAGTGCTTAACTTCATTATTCAGAGTGTCATATTTAATATAAACGTGTA